CGCCCCCGCCCACCCCCACCCTCCCCCACCCCCACACTCACCCACACCCACACTCACCCACACCCGCACCCACACCCACACCCGCACCCACACCCACACCCGCACCCACACCCACACCCGCACCCACACCCGCACCCACACCCACACCCACACACCATCTCCAGATGCAAATTGTAACGATGCTTGTTCATCATGATCTCGAATAGAACAAAGGGCATCTAGGCAAGCATTGGATACCATGGTAACAATAATTTCACCGATATATATATACTTATCTAAAACGACAAAAGAATAAAGAGTCAATTCATGGTACTGCCTGATTTTTATCGGTTGGTTTTATCAAAGATTGCTGCTGGAATCTTATATTCAGAAGCTTCGTTAATCAAATCATCATCCATAAAGCTTTGAATTCTTCCAGAATGATCTTCTTTCACTAAAAGAGTAAGTAGAAGTCTCTTTAATGAATAATCAGCCCTGGTTTTCTCGTTATCTGTTTCGAAAAATTGTTGCGACCAGGGGTCTTCAATAGCTGCATTTAATTGCTCTTCTACTTCGATAATAGAAACATAATTTAGAGAAGCCAGATAGATTAGTAACGCAGCAGCAGTGTAATGTTGTTTCAATGATTTCATTGAGTTGAGGATGTTGAAAAGAGATTCAATCGACTGACATCCTGACATAATTCGCACACTTTTAATAAAACAAGAAATATCTAATTTTCTTGATGACTCAAGTGCCGCTTGCATGATCATTTCAATAAGATTTACAGACACCTCTTCAAAACATGCATATACTGCTATGCACTGCTCTTGAGTCAATAAACAAACTTTTTTACTTGTTTCATAGACACCTTTCCGAAAAGCAACTTCACCAAACGAACTCTGACGAACTGCATTCCGAAAATCAGCTGGTATGTCGTGACAAAGTAATTCCGCCACCTTCATATAATCAAGACTTCCAAAAAATGATTCATAATCAAAATTCTTGCACATATCTTCAATGAATAATGGAAGAAGAGTCGCTGCGTGTTCTGTGATCCAACGAGCTGCAATTTTAGTAGAAGAAATTTCAGAATTCGATGTCAGACGGTCACTTGTACTGGTCATGTACGAATAGTACACTTCGATAATCTCGTATGTCTCTGGCTTATCCTTTACATGTAAGTACAACTTAGCTAATGGTGCGTGACGAATAAGCAATGAAGATGAATGCTGTCTTAGATGATCAAGATATTCCAACTTTTCCCTTGCAACAATTTCATCCTGAGGTTCATCATTCATATATAACGAAAAAATACATATAGCGATGAATTCATCCAAATTCTCTTGTTTATTATTTGTAATAGTAGTCCAGAGAATATTTTGAATTTGTTCGTTGTTTGGGAAATGTAATAGATTTTTTCTAACGATGGTTTTTAGCTTTGTTTCGTGACAATCAACCAAAAGTCTTCCAAGAAACTCAGCAAATCTTTCATCAGATGCTAACAAATCGCCAGGTAAATATTCAAGAAACCATTGCAGAAACGAGAGATCGGCTGAGTCGGATGAACTATTTGACAATGATACTATGAGATCAATAACATAATCTCTTGCTTTGACTGATAATTCCTTGATTAATCGAAAGAAAGATATTTCGTATTTGGATGTCTTCTGATGAAAATTATTAAACCTATCACGTTCGAACTTTAAAACATTTTTCATTTGATCAATCGTGTTGACAACTAGAGTAGATAAAAGATGTTCAATATCACCAAATGTTTTCATCTCTTTTTCATTCCAATAGTAGAGATAATCAATAATTTTATTTGTACACTCCTTCTCCATATTCCATTCGTGACTTTTGATTAATTTGATAGCTCTAGTACGAAGATGGTCATTTTCATTACTCATTAATTGACAACATATTTCGACAATAGTTGTTGTCCAGGGTATAGATGAGGCTAATAGAATTGCACCATAATAGGCAAACATGTTCAGTATGGTGTCATCGCGATAGTTAAGCCATTCTAGCACAAAATTACGTGCAGATTCAGTAACATTCTCCTCTTTTACTAAAGTGTATTGAAGTCGGGACACTTCCATTTTTTCTGCTTCGGTGATTGATGATGAAAGAAGCTTACAAATACTCGATGCTACTTCAACATTCAACGAACATGTTAGCTCTTTTTCAAGTGCTATTAAACATTTTTCAAGCAACGATGCTGGAACCAATTCTTGTTCAATATGGCACTCGGCTGTTTTCTTTATCACAGAATCATCAAGGAAACGAACATAAAATGTCATTTCATATAGATACATGCTGGTCAACAACGTCGAACGAACATTGCTCATATTCGATGTCCGAAAATATTTCATAGAGAAATATTTGGAGAAAAGTTTAGAATTAGAAGGAAAAATTTGATTAAATGCTAACGCACTACCAGAGGACTGTAAATGGCGGACATATTGACACACATCACTGCGAAAGGGTGGTATTGTGACAAGTGCTTCACAAATGACTGATTGTTCATTCATATTTACTGTTTCCAATCGTTGTATTATATTATAAATGAGTCCTTTTTTCAACGGAAAACTCTCATCGCGAATGACAGACATGCAACGAACAAAGAGTGCAACATAGATTAAAAGTGGTGTAATCGGTTTGATTTCTTCTAACCACGATATTAAACGAATAAAGCACTCTTTAAAACAATCTCTAAGAGGTTTGAATTTCACATAATTTGGAAGCATAAGATGAAAAATATTTATAGCAGCATCCACTCTCCAAATAGGTTGCTTTATTGCTTGAACGAGGATCCATAATTTCTCGAGTCTTGTCTCCGACGACATTGAATATTCATATCCCTGAGTTACTTTAGCAACAACAGGCTGCATACAATTCTAAATTGTTCTGAGCATTATCAATACGACGTTGCTCTTCGTTGGCAGCTAGTTCATGTTCGTTTTTGACATCGTCGAAGTTCTCGACTATGAGTATGTGGCTTGTGAGCGAACGCAAAAAATCATTTTCTACCGCTTTTATAAAACGCCAAGGTGATCGATCCAGACTGCTTTTAGTAATGATAAAACGAACGAAATTTTCCATCCGATATTGACTAATTATAGGTGACAGTATAGAGATTAAAATGCATAGACGAATACATGGGCAATCTATCATAAGAAGGCCATAAAGCGATTCAATTAGCAAATGAAAAAATGGTAAAGGAGATGTTTGATTAAAACATAGTTGTTTTTGGGCAAATAGCTCCATGTACAAGTGTTGAACTGAAACAGGAACATAGGCAATAAGAAGTGTTACCGGTTTATGCTGTAAAAGTTGGAGTGGGTGGATTCCTAGTTGTAAAAGATGAATGTCTGCAGCTTCAAGTTCTTCAGTTTCGATTACATATCTCGATAAACTAATACAACAAACGAATGCTAATCGTCGAACAATAGCATCCTCATTCCAATCAGCTATATTTGTCAGTTGAATCGTCGATGGAATTTTAATGTTAAGCAAAGCAATTCCTTCAGATAGAAATTGTTTCTGAGATAAAAGAGATGTTCGTGAGCGTAATAAATTAGTATACGCATGGGATATTGATTGAATGAAATCGAGTATACCTTCCGAATCAATGATGAGATCTTCCAAACTATCTAACAGATTATTTTTAAACCTTGAGCGTGGATCTACAAAATAGCATTGGCGTAGGTAGTAATGAACGATTTTCATATATGATACAGCATATTGCCAAAGTTGAGAGCCAATATATTTTTCATAATTCGATGAATGACTAATACCATAGAAACAAAATAATACTATTAAACTATGAATAGCTTCTAGGGTTACATTTGTTGATACTGCTCTGTCGACTATGTTTTGACATTGATCAATCAAATTTTGCACTTTAACTGTCTGATTCGTAGCCGTATCATTGAAATAATCAATGAAAAGACGAGATAGTGATGAATCACGATGCATGCGACAAGCTTTGAACACAATCAACGGACTATTTTTTTGATCTTCGTACTCCAAGGGTGTGGGTGTGGGTGTGGGTTGGATGTTGATGTTCTCATCATGCGCACACTAACACCCACATCCACGCCCACCCACCCACACCCTCGAATATGGCGGATCGAAATGAGTAGTTATGATAATTTAGCACAAAATAAAACGATCATTCTTCGGTTAGATTTAACTACATGTTGAATTAACAAGTGTCACTTTATTATAGAGATGGTCAACATTGATTGCAGCTTGTGATTAGGCCATAATCTGTCGTCAGGACAATTTGAATTGGCAAGTTGGACTAGTTCAGACATAGATACAAGGTCTTTCTCATTGAGATGACCAGTCCCAATGAGCACGGTAAGTATGTCAGACGAGAGCTGACTTCTAGTATGGACATTTTAGACTAGTCATGTTGGACGTCTCCTCTTATTTTTTGCTTGCCTATGAGTTCTATCAAATGTGAAGAACTAGTTTGATCTGAGATGTTCAATTTTCAACAGCTGTTCGACCCACTGATAAGTTCACTTTAATGATGAAAATTAAAAGCAAGCCGTTTTCGCATAGATTTTCAGTTTACGAAAAAACAATCATTTATTTTGAAATAGTAAAATTTGATAGGGCACTAAACGAAGGAAGTCAATTCGTAGGAAAGAAGAATGATTAAACAATTTCGTTATTTGAAAGTTTCAACACCATATGCCAGAGGCATAAGTACCATAACTTGTAGTGTGGCAGCCAACTCCTTAATTTCTTCACTTTGGGGGAAGATTTGTCGAAATTCTTGTTCTGATACTTGCTTCTTATTACCAAAGGCTTTATACACACTGTCCTTAATTAGTTTGAGTTGACTTTCGGCATCATCCTGTTGATCATCGTTGTTATCTTGTTGATCATTGTTCTTCTTGGTGGTTATCATAAAGAACAGACGAAAAACAGCAACAATCTCGTCAGGTATAAGAAAGCCATCCCGATTAGAATCACACAATTTGAAAAGACAATTCATTATTATTTCAGGAGTTTTCTTGCTCATTAATCCAATAGCCAATACATACTCATATAACTCAATCTTTCCTACAAAATTACAGAGAAATAGACACTTTTTCGATTCATTTTTCCTGTTGAACATTTTTCTAATTATTCAAGTTAAATCAAGTAAAGCAATTCTCCTATTATTTGAAAATATTCAATCTTGAAAAATTGCTTTGTATCTTTTATAAATCTACTCAATCTGAGCAGAATCTTGTTGAATCGGCCGTCTTTGAAAAATGATTATTGAGCAATGTTAAATTTTTGTTAGAATGTAGGGGAGATCGAATCCAAAAAATACTATTTCAGAATAATATCTACAGATATTTCGAAATCTATCAACTTTCTTCTTGGCATAAGTTCTCTATGAATAGACAAATTTCTTCAATAATTGTCTCTCGGAAGTGGTTTTAACATAATTTCAAGTGTAAGACATATTAGGTATTGGTTAAAAGATGTCTGAGAGATTTTAGAGATTTCTCTCTTATCATCAATTTGAATCTTTTTTTGTATTTGTGAACTTAATATTGAAAAGGATGTCGATTGTTCACCATAATTCAATACTTTTAGTTCAGTCTGAAAGCGACCAAATAAAAAACATATGAATTATCAATGAATTGATTTAACTGGAACTTTGACAAAAAATTATTTTTCTCGGAGAAAAGTATATATTGTAATAAACGATAAAAAGAATAAAGTACAGACCTGAGTTATCCCGATCGATCGTATTGAATATGATCTTGGCAAACTTGAGCATGCTTTTATCGATGTTTACGTATGGCATAAGCAGCATTTCTTGAAATTGTTCTTCTGTTATACCGTCACTAGGAAATTTGTTTCTGAATTCTTCTGAAAAGAAGTACAATTTTCACGAAAATCTCTTTGAATAAAAAATTTGACAGAATACATGACAGCACGAAACTTAATGGAATTAATCATTTGACTAGTTTATTGCGAAATTTTGAGTATCAATTAAGAAAATATTCTGAACTATCTCTATTGAAATTTCTAAAAAAAACTGTTTTCTATTGTTGTCTATATATAATTCAGTCTCTCGTTGCATTTTATCTATAAAATAAATATAAACACTAAACGATTACTGTAGAATTATGGATTAAAAAAGGTGTTCCTCACAATCAATTAGAATCTATATTATATTTTATTGAAATTTGATTAAAAGTTCCCTTACGAAAATAAAAAGGGCAACCGTTTTCTTAATCAACATTGATGCTTTTGGAGAAAAATTTAAAATTAGAGATGCACAAAAAATAGTTCTGAATGCTATTGAGATAAAAAACGTGATAATCTAAAGTCGAGAAATAATCGATTGACTAACCGTATAAAAAGAGAATTTTCTTTTTGCTCATGTTTGTCGTCAACATCAAACTGTCTATTTGAGTCTGCGTCAGTTCAAGATTACTGTCAGTTTGTTTCGTTGTTTGAATCTTGAAGGCCATAACATACAATGTTTCGAACACACTTGTGTCGGATATTGATTGACAACAATCACAACTATGTTTAGTTAATTTAGTAAATGACACGTGTGAATGTCTTTCGTTTTTTTCATTTTTATGTTAGCAACCTTTTCATGTAAGAAAATTATATAAAATGAGAAAAATAGCGTCAATTTATATTGGTAACTAGAAATAAAACAGAACAAATCTTATCATATAGAAGAAAATGTTCGAATGAAAACTATTTTTTATTTATTTTTATCATTTGCATTTGTCTGAATATGTATGAATGATATGACATTAAGATAGAATGAAACAAATTATTATTGTCTCTCAGGTGAAAATATTTTTTTTACCATGATGATATCATTCGATGTCTAACTGTCGACTCAGTCATTTTCTGTGCATCACATGTGTAATTATATGTAAGTTCGCAGTCTGAATAATTTTTATATGAATAATAATTTGTCGATCGTTTCTTTTTATTTCTAGTTACCAATANATATTTTCCAATTTATCGATGTCTTCTCGAAGTGAATAGATTTGAATGATCGTAATTCGCATCGCATTTCGTATTTGAGTGAAACTCAAAATACATCTACTGTGTAAAGTAGAAAATACATTATACAAAAAGTTTGGTGATATTCTGGAAAAGTCTATATGAATTCAGACTAAATTTTTTAACTTTTTGAAAACTACTACCGATCTTCAAATTACACCTTTTTGCTGGGGAATGAATTTGAATTCATACTTTTACAAAGATCAAGCATTTCATAAAAAATAGAAAATCAACTAATGAATCACAACAATTTCAAAATAACATGAAAATACTGAAAGTCACTTTGGCTTTTCTAGAATTTCGAAAAAAATTACAGTGCAGTTGTAAATGCAATGGCCTAAAGAGCGTTTCTAATTTATAAATAAAATGAACACGAAACCAGTTGGCAAAAAAATTTAATTCTGCATTTATTTACTTAATTAATTAACTTTTGAATTCAATCATATATCAATTTTATTTAGCTTGAAAACTGTCTGAATACTTCAACTAAATAATCGATTGGTGAAAAGCAAGAATTGAGATTCGCAAATTGATTTGTCTTCTTCGTCAAGAAACAAGTTCATCTGCTATCGAATTGATTAATGCAGCGCAATATGCTATAATTAAAAATCAAGAAAAAAATAGGGGTGGCACTTTAACTTTACTTTAAAGTTAAAGTTTAAAGTACTACTTTAAACTTTAACTTTTAAAGTTTAAAGTGTCACTTTAAACTTTAAAAGTTAAAGTTAAAGTGGACGTACTTTACACTTTAACTTTAAACTTTTCAAAGTTAAAGTCTAGGGGTAGGAAGTTACTGTTACCGAACCGTTACCGTTACCGGTACCCTTGGGTCCTCAACTCCTATTTTTGAAAAAAAATTTTTTTTTCGAAAAAATTTATTTTCTGGTCAAGAAGTCTGTTTCTGCGTTAAAAAAAAATTTTTTTCAAAAATAGGACTTGAAGCCCCAAGGTACCTCGTTACACAGTCCATGAAGAGTTATGGGTACTTTCATAAATGTTTATTCACTTTTATGAATTTTTAAGAAAAATTGTGTTTTATAGGAAAACGTTTACTTTAACTTTAAATTTTTTAAAGTTAAAGTTTAAAGTATGGTCACTTTAACTCTAACTGTTAAAGTTTAAAGTTAAAGTGCCACCCCTATGCGTGTATATGAAAGGTTACTCCGGTGGTATACTTATCATTTATAATTCCGAGAGTCAAAAATAGATCATAAGCATTAGCATTTTGCTTAAATCTCGGAAAAAAAACATCTTTTTTGTAGAATGAAGCTAAGCTTGATATAGATCTTATTCATTTATCTAAATTGATTTCAAGAGCACGGTTCACACTATATGAAAATGAAATAATTATGATTAAAAATTAGATTAAAATAAGAGTGTGAGAGTAAAGAATAGCAGCATTCACATCCTTGTGAAACGAAATATTGGAAAAATCAGAGCGATAGTTTTGGAACTCACACTGTTAAATTGAGAGATCAAAAATAGTTGATAAATGGGATAGCCTAATTAATGAAAAATCGCTCAATTACTTTATCGTTCTTTCGAACTCGTATCTAATGATGTCAATGTAAAAAAATTTTCCTAACTAATCAAACCTATCTCAAAAATACATTCGATCAAGTTACTGATGACTATCAATTTGATCTTAAGCAACGCCATAAACAAGATCAAGAATTATGGTGTGGGTATGGGTGTAAATTCAGCGAAGAACAACACCTACACCGACACCCTTGATCGATTGTGAACATTATCAAATAGAGTTTTGAACAGATGATTGATGATGAAAAACGAATAATAACGATTTCTGAATATCTTGTTCAACTTGTTTTGAAACAATCAAATGGTTTAATTCGTATTGATGAAGAATTTCAGAAAATTATCGTTCAATATCATACCAATAATAAATATATACATACAACTGCACAAATGTATGAATCCTACATTGAATTCACATCAGAAAATGTTACTTTTACGTTTTATGTACAAACAATTGTGTCTACTTTACTTGAGACAGTACTCAATGATCAACTTATGAATAATCCATTAGCACCTATTAATATTTATCAACAGCTTATTGAAATTATTTTAAAATATTTCGAGGAGCGAAAATGCATTGCCTCGATATTTAAACAAATAACTCTTCAATCCGCAAAAAAATAGTGAAATAGAAATGATCATCAGTATTTATGATGAATTGTGTACATTCATTTATAAATGTCGAGCAAAAATTATATTTAAAGATAATGATCTGATTACTTTTATTATTAACTGTTTACGAATGCTTGGAGATCTTTTTTATGACAAATTTATTATTTTAATTCATAAAAGAATAATTCAAATTTTACGTTACTATTGTGAAAAGAGGAAATCCTTAATTCGATTAACAAGATTATTGTCAATTGATTAAATATTATTGTTCCAAGAATGGCTATATCAATGCAAAATCTACAGTAGAGAACTGCGGAACCACCGTTTATTGGTCCCAGTCCCGGTACCCGTGCTGGTTAAAATTTTCTATTTCGTCTGATCCCGATTTTTTTTCTAAATAAGAGCGATTTCTTAGAATGTGAAGCCTAAATTTTAAGATTTCTGTTCGTACTTCCAACTATTACTACAGTTGTCTTTTTCAATATAGAGAAGTATAATAAAAGCACTTAAGATTTCATACTAGAAATAGAAAAAATGTGTCTTCTTAATCCTGGATAAAGATCCAAAGAATTAAAAGGCCGACAGTGTGGATGAAACCTGAAATTCTGTCCTCAATCAAGAAATAGCCAGAAAAACAACGACAAATAATGTAGAATCAAAAGAATAGTTAAAATAGTATTGAATCAAATTCATGCTTATTGCACCAATGCGCCTATTTAAAAGCTAAAATAAGTTATCGAAAATCTCGATTTCTGAAATCAGAATCAAGATTAGTGAAAGATTTTTATCAGAATCATAAAAAGAAACGGCTGATTAACAGATTTTTAGTCACAACAAAAAATAATAAGTATGAAAATCTACTGTAGTCTAGTTCTTGATAAAAAGAATGCGCCGAGACTAGCTTGAAAAATTATTGGTCCAGCTTCCGGTTCTGGTTCCGCGGGATCGAGACAACTTTGCAGTTCTCTAACCTACAGTCGATAGTTATTCATGTCTACTTGCAATATCTCGTATTTAGAATTCAACAGATTTCGAAGAAATTCAATATGAAACTATTTCTTTGGTTGAAGATAGATCTGCGGAAATGCTTGAAATTTTAATAAAAGTTAGTATAGATTATATACCTTTAATATAGAGCAGACACCAACGGCTTATTTATTTTGAAAAAAGATATGAACCAATGGCAATTTGTCAATTTCAGTACATTAATTCAATAGTAATCCATTATGATTAACAAACTATGAATTATTTATTATCGAGAGATCAAGAAGCTTGTGAAACATATTGGTAAGAATGTGTATGTCAACTTCTAGACTTATTTGCAAAACAAGATTAACACATTGCTACTTTTTATCCTCGAATCGAGGGTCCAGCATAACCCATCTGTGTTTTTTATCCTATTATGTATACTAAACGTGTACCATTATATTGTCCACCCGCTTACCAAAGATATCTCAAGTTTCTTTAATCATAAATTTTATTTAATAAATAAATCGATGCCGAACATCATCATTCAAGTAACTTAAAACAGAAATCAAACAGATACTTACAGTGCTAACTATTCAAATTTTAATGCTGTTGATAGGATAAAATCAATCGAAAAATAGATCGAATATCTTCAAGTAATTCTTTTGTATTTAAGCGAAAGACGATTTGTTACTTACAGTGCAAAGTCGTGTTCTATAAGTTAAGAAGATTGATCCAATTCAAGTAGAATGAAAATTTTGAATACCAAGCGCATTAATTTAAAATATGAACTGTCAGTAGCGCACGTGAATCTTGATAGTCAAATTTCATAGTATATATAGTCTATGTGAAGTGACCACAGTTCAACATTTTAGAAGCATATAGCTTTTGTTTTCCCATTAAAGTTCAATAGATCTCTGCAAGTTACATAAGACAAAAATAATGTCACACATAGTAAAAAGTAATTTTACAAAAAAAGCTCAAGATATTATTATTGTTAAACAAATATTTGGGTTATGGACACCACACTCTGCCTGTTGTGCAGTGCCTTCTGAATATGTGCGATTTTTTTTTCTTATGTGACTAACAGAGCTCCAACGACACTATGACAAAAAAAAAAGAAAACTAACCGTTTCTGAAACGCATTGAAGCGCAGCAAGATATAGACTGTAACTTAAATACCTTGAAATTCGAATATCATTGTTCGTTAATGTTACAGATAGCTCATCTTTTAAACTAGTTAGTTTGAAAGTAGAAGTATTTATTTGACCTGAATATGATCAATCTCCATAACTTACAGTACATGCCCTTTTGCATGTTAGTTAAAGTTTACTCGATATTTCACGAACATATTTCTATCGATTCTCGTTTCACTGAACGACTATATTCAAGATTTCTCATATTTTCTAGTTATGAAAATATTTCATATACCATTATTTGCTAGATATTCAATATGAAATATTGAATGACGGCAAATCTAGGAAAGAAATCTTTTCTATGAGAGTACTTTCTTGAATTGGCTTTCTTGTGAAAAACGAATAAAAAACAACTGAGAATTAAATTCATAAATAAAAGTATTTTAACTTCAAGGCAACCAAAAGAAAATTTCGGATTGGTAATAAAAGTTTTATGTTGATGATAAATATTTTTCTAATATTCAGTCATTTCCCAAAATCTAATTGGATATTAATTATCATAAAAAATTATATGTATGATGTTTATTTAAAATGATGGTTTCATTTCTAAGATTTTAATTTCATTTACTTGAGTGTGGGTTATGACATCGATATGATTAGCAGTATTCCTGTCGGTTCCTGAAGTATCCGTTCTTCGGAAACATTGACCTAAGTACTGATTCATTTAATAGAATAGGTATAGATTTTTCTTCAAATACGTCCAAATGCTTATGTGCTCTAGTCAATAATCTAATTTTGAGGATATTTACTAACATTTTCAATTTCGACTGATGTTGAGAAACATTCTTGAAATGGAAACTTGCATATTTCATTGACTCAAACGTCTCCACAAGATACATGAACAAATGTTATGATTGCCAATGTTCCCTTGGTCGTTAGTTCATGAAATGAATATCATTCTTGTTTAGTCATCTAAAGTTACTGATCAAGTAGATTTAATTCATTAATCAGCAGCCAATGAGCAGATCATTGTATAACCAACTCTTACATTTCATGTCAAGATCATAGAAGCATTGAAAGTCTTCGTGTAGATTCATAAGATGATTCGTTATGCTTCACATTCTAACATCATATGGTTTCGATAATTACTGACAAATCAAAATGTGCTATTCGCTGGAATGATAAACAAAGATCAAATAATTGCTATATGGAAAAAAATGTATTTTACTTGTAATCCAGTACAGAGTCAAAAGAAAAACGTAAAGACTCATGGTGAAACTTAAAAGGCAATGTCAATTATGAAAATTCTATGACTAAAACTTTTTATTTAATGAATTGACGTTTACTGAAACTGTTGATAGACATGAATTTATTTAGATATAAATTCAAGCGATAAATAATAATGCGTTCAATGGATACAAATTGAGAAAAAATTAGAATAATTAAACAAATGAGTATGAGAGAAAATCTAACAGATGAATCAATTATTACTTGGAACAGCTGAGAAAACCATATATTCCTACAAGAAATGATTACGATAAACAATCCGAAAATATTTATTTTCAATAGAAATACTTACAATGAGAAACAGAGCAGCAAGTGACATTGCCTTCATTTTAACATCAAGATCCATTGGAACTACAAACGATAAATATTCGACAAGAAGTTTTTAATTGTTGTCAATAGGTTTACCTTTAAGTAAATATGCATCGGCACTTGTAAGTATTTCTTTCAAAATACCACGATATTTCTTTTGTATAAATCCAACTTCTGAAGTTCCATCAGTACCAATTAACTTTCATTAAGTAAAAATAATTCTAGAAAATTCGAACTAAAATTTTACAAATATTACCTACAAAATATTTGTTTTCACAGCGACAACTCAATGGTCCGTCACACACTCCTAAAGGACCACGTACAGTGAGAACATGATTATCGTCGCTATCTTTGATGGCAAAAATAGATCGACAACAACTTCCCCTAAATAATGAATATTTAATGAACTCAATCTCATTTTATGTTTATTGGAACCTCATCTTACTGTTGTGCTACAGTACCAATTAAAGTTCCAGGTGGTGATTCGACTATCACTTCTTGACTACAACATTTGGTATTAGCACACCAGCAACATCCTGAGCAACATTTGAATTCACGTTTTATAAGAATAACATCCTAATTATTTCCAAGAAAATATTCTTATTCAAAATCATTTCAATGAATCTTACTGACCTGATTGCTATTGTCAATAATACGCAATGTAAAATGTCGTCTTGTTGAACAACAGAAACGTTGCCAAAATGATGAAGCTTTTCAAAGGTAAAAAAAAAATTTTTAAAACAATATTAAATTTCTATTGATTTACTTTCTAAGGCTTGCAACATGCGTACATTGTTATCAGTATAAATATCAAATTTAGCTTCAGATGCAATACCAAATATAACTTGAATAATGTATTTTAAAAATAAAAGAAACTTCAAATTAAATGAATTCTTTTAACTGATTTACTTTCACTCATGGAAGGAAGTTGTTTAACGTACAATGAATCAGTCATTCTTAAACAATTTAATCCAGTTGTAGCGTTGAATGTTGTAGGTAATAATGGTGCTATTTGGTCGTTATTTGATGGATTGATCTTCTCGTCAGATTCTATTACATTCATTTCTATGAACTTTATAGACTAACGATGAAATAATTTTTAATCAATGAAATATTTTATCTAAAATATCCTCAATAAGAATTCAAACGTGCTTTAATTTTTTTTGTCACTTGTTCTGTGTTCTCCGTTTTTTTTTCTTTTTCTTTCATGAGGAGCAAATACGTTGAAAAAATAACAAGTTTCTTTTCGTAGGTAATGAAAGCAATGCATGATTTCTTTTTTCATGCAAGCAATATGAAGTGTATCCAAACAAA